GCGTCCTTTGGCGGAGAGTGTGGAAAGAATTCAACACACAGCCAAAGTTAGAGTCAAAAGGAAAATTTATTAGAAAAGGGGTAACACCCCACAGACAGTGTGGTTTCCTCTCAGAGGCAGAGAGAGGGACACTGAGAGGGACAGACAATAGAGACATAACAGTGAGAGAGACATAGTAAAGGCACTGAGAGGGACCCTGAGTGTTCAGGGAATTCAATTTATATATCATTCTTTAGTTCTCATTTCCTTTGATATGGACGTACGGTGAGGAAGGGGAAGAATGTGTAGCCTGAAAAGGTTAGAATATATAGAGGGAAAGGCCTGCTGGCAGTTCCCAGCCTTTAATCTGTAGGGTCCCCCTTGGTTTTAGCCCTAGAAAATGACTCTTGGTTCCTATTTCCCCTTCACAGGTGTGGGGAATGGGTTGTTAGTAATCCCAGTAGAAATCTTCCTTTGTTCTGAAGGTGTCCTCCTGGCCTGGCTGCAGGGCTGATCAGCATATTGCAGTCTCTGAATGTAGCTTGATTAACATTTTAATTCTCTTGCTTCCTCCCTATGTTAGATCTACTATATTTCATTTATCCCTTCTCTCAGTACAGTTCAGTTCAACATTTGGGTTGTTTCTACCTTTCAGCTATGAATAAGTAATGCTGCTATGAACATTTGTGTGGACATACATTTTAATTTCTCTTTGGTATATACACCTAGGTGTGGCATTGCTAGATCATTTGGTAACTAGTTTAACTATTTGAGGAAGTCAGACTTTACGCAAAATGCCTGTTGGTAAGTCTACATCCTTACCAACACTTTTGTTTATTTTTTAATAATAGCCATCCTAGTATATATGAAGTGGTATCTCATTGTTACTTTGATTTGCATCTTTTCATGTGCTCATTGGCCATTTATATAACTTTGAATAAATCTGTGTTCAGACTCTTTGCTCGTTTTTAAATTGGATTATTGGCATTTTTTATTATTGAGCTAAGAGATCTTTATATGTTTTAAATACAAATCTCTTATCATATATATGATAGCAAAAGTTTTCTCTCATTCTGTGGGCTGTCTTTTCACTTCCCTTTTTTCTTTCTTTCTCTTTTTTTTTTTTTTTTTTTGACACTCTTAACATGTTTTATAATATTGGCTGGAATGTTCTAAATTCATGAAAGCTTTTGGGAGAATCTTCATTTCCCAACCCCTTAAGTCTTTTCATTTTCTTAATAGTGTCCTTTAAAGCATAAAAGATTTTAGTTTTGATGAATCCAGTTTCTTTTTTTCCCTTTGGTTATTTGTACTATTGGTATCGTATTAAGAAACCATTGCCAAATCCAAGGTCACAAAGGTTTATGCCTTTTCTTCTGAGAGTTTTATATTTTTAAATATTTCATTTAGATTTTTGATCCATTTGGGACCCCGTCCCTTACTCGCTTTGTGACCTTGGACTGTTCATTTGCCTTTTTCAGCTTTACTTTTTTCATCTGTAAAATGAAAATTGATATGTGTGTACATAAAACCACAACAGAAAACAGATCAGTGATTGCCCCAAGCTGGGAGTCAGAGAGGAAGGGACGGGGTGGGGGTTGGGGGGGAGGGTGAGGCGTGGTATTAACTACAAAGACGAGAGATTTTTGGAGTCAATGAATCTGTCTTTAAAAAACAAAAGAAAATACCTTACAACAACTCTACAAAGTGTGTGTTATTCTTTTCCATTTTGAGGCTAAAGGAAACTGAGGCTCTGAAAAGTTAATGAACTCACCTCTGGTTTCACATTTGGTATTTGACAGTTCCAGGAGTTGAACCTAAATCTGCTCAATCATAGAGCTTGTGATCTTCTTATTCATTTTTAGCCAGCCCTTGACACTATTAACAGTGCATGGATTCTTTGTAAAAGGCTGACCTTCCCTTGAAAGACAGGAACGTAGTCTGCCTGCAAACATATTCTTCCAAATTTTGAATCCCTGGCAGATCTCATTTCTGTCAGTCATTAGTTGGGATTGGAATCGGTTCTGGAGTGCTGCCCAGGCATGATATCCCTCTGAGGCTGTGGCCCTCATTTTGGAGCAGCAGGAGACCAGTTTCAAAGCTGATGAGTTTCTTTGGTTATGAAAAGCATTTTCATACTTTATCCAACCAGCAAAATAGAGTGCCTTCTCAGTAGGAGAATGCTCAGATGTTTACAGGGCCAGTGCTGCTGCTTAGCACTTTAACAGTCTTCCTTACTGAGGCTTATTTAGAAGAGAACTGGTTGGATAGAAGAGAGATCTAAGGTAGTTTTTTTCCTGTGTCGCCGTTGTCATATCATCACCATCATCATTTATATCTGCATGACACTTTACGGTTTGCCATGTATTTTAACATCTGTGATCTCTCTTAATTCTCTCAGTACTCTATCAGGAGAGTGCTTATACTTAGAGTGTGTTACTTGGCTGTATTCTTGGATAACCGGCTGCAAAAATATTTTTTCCTTAAGTTATGATGAAATATATGTTCTGTAACTTTCATCCTCAAATTGTTCTAGTGTCAGTTTATCAGTTATTGGTAGTTACCTGGGGTGGTTTGCAGAGCTACATAATTGAGTATATTTCAGGAATTCCTATCCTCTGAAATTGACCAGTATGGCATTTTCTTTTTTGCCTGTTTGACTCCCTCAGCTTCCTCTCCTTGGAAACCAATCTTTTCTCCACCTCTCATTCCAGAACCCTGGACAGACTAATTAATCGCAGAGCAATTGTCATAAAGCCAGCTGTTGATTGTTTGTCTTCAACATTTGACTTCTTTCCTATCCTGAGGTGCTATAGGAAAAGTTAATGACCTAAAAAATTGCCCATCTATCATGTGAGCCTACTTAGGAGAGAATTATTTGATTTTTATGAAGTGTAAATAATATATTTAGAGACACGTTTTCAAACATGTGTTAGCCTATTTGTCAGAGATGGTTCTCTAAACAAGGTGGGACAAATTGGCTGGTTAATAGAGCTTAATGACAGATTTTCCGTTAATCAGAACGGAGAATGTGCTTCATTAAGATAATTAACAGAGCACTTGTGCAGGTGATACTTATTGCACACAAATTTCCAAGTTATTTCTTTCCCTCGAATAAAATTTGAAAGAGATCTTGGCTCTTTCTTTGTTTGCATTAAAATGATCAATGACAATAAATTTCCACTTTTTTTCAAAGCTGTTAGGAACTGATATCTTGTCCTCTGCGGGTACAAAGAGTGGAGGAGGCACTTGCTATTCTTCCATCAGTCTCTGTGCTCATCATCATCAGGCACCCGGGCTCCCTGGTGAACAATAGAAGTGTATCCTTTCTGAGTTCCTGGACTGGCATTTTTTGAAATTAATTTAGGAGAGCCTAAATTAATTCTTGAAGAGCCTAAACTAATTGATTTTACATCAGGTCATTGAAGTCCCGAGAGGGGAAGTGACTTGGCCAGCGCCATACAGTATACTAGTGACAGAGTGATCTGTGGGGTAGTGGAACTAGTACTGAACTGAGAGACAAAGGCCTGGATTGACATAGGGCAAGTTGTATCACCTCTGTGCTTCCCAGTATCCATCTGCATAATGGGAAAAATGTCTAGCTTAGGGCCAAGTACAAACAAATGGCTTTTTGTTTAGTCTTCTTTCTGTTATACTGTGTTTTTTCTCTATGAATGTAAACTGAAGATTATAGAGGAGAAGCTGATTTCAGGGAGAATGAGCAATCAGTAATCAATGCTGTTTTTTTGTTTGTTTCTCTGTAGGATCCTTAGTCTTCCACAATGAACCCTGTTTATAGCCCCGTGCAGCCTGGGGCTCCTTATGGCAACCCTAAGAACATGGCCTACACAGGTGAGTTGTGTGAGAATGGTTGTCATTTTAAAAAATGGTGGTTAAGGGCATTATCAAATAACATGCCTACTGACTTTTGATATACCGTGCCTCCAAAAACTTTGATAAAACTTGGGAACTTGTAGAAGGGAGACAACTCAGGGATCCAGTGAAGCTGGAAATGACAATTAATTATTAAGACTAAGAATTGTTGCATTGTCAACTCGGAGAAAGGAAGGGAGGTAACATATTTATTAAGTACCTACCATGGGCCTGGGCCTATCCTGGGCTCTTTAATCTTAAAGCAGTTCTACACAGTGCAGCTTATCACCATGTCACAGGGGAGAAAACCATAGTCATTGTAAGAGGTCACAAAAAAAAAAAAGAGTTTTGAACACAGGTTTGCTAATTCTGAAAGCTGAATTTTTTTTTCCCTGAACTACATACTGAACTGTTTCCTACCTCTCGACCTTTGTGTATATTGTCCGTCTGTCTAAAATGCCATTGTCCCCTGACAACTTAACCTTATTCTTTAAGAATTCAACTCTGATCTCAGATAGAACTTTTCTAAGAAGCATCCTCTCCCTTACTTGGCCTTAGGCAAGTTTTTTAACCTTCAGAGCCTCAGTGTTCTCATCGTAAAATGAGGGCAGTAGTATTGCTCTATTTCATAGGGCTACTATAAAGATTAAAATGAGCTAGTATAAGGCCCTCAGCATATAATATCTGGCACAAAGTAGTGCTTAATAATGGTTGTTATTATTTACAAATAAATAAAGGTGGGCAGGGTGTATGGTAATGGAAGTGAATGAGAAAATCAATGTATGTAAGTTGATTGCATAATACTTAGCATATCACAAGCCTTCAAAAATACGATGACTTTAAATCCAAGGTGAAGGTAACAGTAAGAATGAACCAACACATAGAGGTAAGAAGATATGGTCAGGGTATAGTCGATACTTGAGATTAGCTGGAGTCAAGAGTATAAAAAGAAAAGTGGGGAATGAGCTCAAAAAGTAGATTAATGATAGTCTTGGTGGCAAGAGTCTTAGAGAACTTTTTGTCTGGTTGTTCCAAACTTGTTCTGTAAGAACACTTAGGGGGTGCTTCAGAAATTCCTCAAATATTTGATTTGATTAAAAAAATATTTAGAACTATTTTTATAAAACACTCATACATATAAGGTGATCACTGTGTTTGTTAGGCTTCGAAGAATGCATGTTAATTTAAAAAACAAAACAAAACAAAACAAAACTGCTAACATTCGCTGCTACTTGTTTGTAAATCAAGATTCTCAGTGCTCCTAAGTAACATTCAGAAATATATTGGAGGTTAAGCCTGATGCGACTATAGTTGTCATCACTAACTTTCAGTTTCTTATGTTTGTGTTTATCACAACAGCTTTATTATCCCAATTTATCCTAAATAGTGGGTATTTTCTGTTTGAACTTCTATTATATGGTTATTCTAATAAAATTAATTCCAGTAACCAGAACCCATTGGTCAGAACCTCATACCTCACTAGTTCAGTGAGCTTGTTGCAATTTCCCTTCCCCAGTTTAGTGTTCCAGCAACCTAAAAGTTCCTTTGCTGGAGAGGACTGAGCTGCTTTGGCAAACAGAGCCTAGGGAAATCTTTGGATTTCCTTTGATCCTGGCTGCCTTCATTCTTATTGAGTTGTTAAGAAAGAAGAAAACAGTTGCATTTATCTATTGATTTGCACAAAGAAGGTTAGGCTGTGTGATATATTGGAAAGGGAACAGACCTTGTCTCTGCATGGCACATAGTAGAACTTGGTAAATGTTTCTTGATTGAATGAGCAACAGTCAGGTTCAAATCCCAGCTGTCAGATAATATAGCTAGGTGACTTTGGATGAATTGCTTAACCTCCGCAAATTTAATTTTTCTTTTACAAACTCAGATACCTGTTTCCTAGGGTAGTGGCGAGAATTAAATGAGATAATTAGTACTCCTCTGAGGGGAGAGAGGGAGGATTGTCTCCGTTTGTACTAATCACCAAGGAATATTATCTACCTGGAACTATATCTTAAGTTAATTTCTCTTAAAAATCCTAGATTCTTGGGTTACACAGGTAGTATAAACTCCATACAAGTAGAATAAATTTGGTTTTAACACAGGCCAAGGTTTCAAATTCTTAGAGGATCTTTCTTTTTTAACATAAGCTTCCTGTCGTCTCTCTGTTCTTTTAATGCAGTTTATTTTATTTTTTTTAAACTGACAGTATGATTCCTCCAAGGTCCCAGCTTTATGCAGGGGAATTTGAGTTACATACAGCTCATGGCCTCTCTAAGGCCCAAAGCCTCCTTTCCCACCCCCAGGGGCTTTAAAAAGCAAGCCCTTTGATTGCCCATACCGGGGAAAAAAAAAAAACCCTTCCCAGAGCAGTTCAACATCAGCTCACTATGAGAGTTCCTGACTTTTAGTTTTCTCTCCATTTTTGACTCCTAGAGGTTTCTCTTTCTTTCTTAAAATCTCAGCTCTGCCTATGTTTTTTATATAACATAAAGCATTTGTTATACTTTATCCCCCTTTTCTAGACGTTATGCAGTAGGAGATCTTCAGGTTATCTTTTCCTCTGCATTGCTCGAAATAGAAGATACAAGTGAAAAAATTTGTAGACAAATGCCAAATACAATGCATTAGAGTAAACATTTGTTGTTGTTATTAACAATAATGGTTATGTTAAAGTATCAATTACCATTTGGCAAGCACATGCTAGGTACTTTATATATATATTAATTATAATCATTAATCACAAACCCTATAGTATCCTTCCTTTACAGTTAAACTGGTAGTGTAATTCAGGTTGTATGACTTGGTCAGCATATAGTATAGCTTTTAAAGGATGAGAACAGATTTGAACTTGGGTCTTAGGATTTTGAAGTGTATATGCTTTCTGTTATAGAAGCTGATCTTTCTTAAAGTGTGTGCTCCTTTCACAGCTCCTAGTGATAAGCTAGGGAAGAGGGTTGTCTTTTAAGTTTCTGGGACTAGAGAGCCTCACCTTTGAAGAGCCAGCAGCCCCTCTGTGGACTCCCCCCCTTAATCCGCACAGATCTGTAAGAACGGGCAAGACATTAACATGGAGGGAAATAATTATAGTACACTGAAATAAATGCTGTCTCAGAGGGATGCACCACTGTATTCCAAGAGCCTAACCTAATAAATAGATGTACAAATTGTTTTGGAAACATGGTGGGTTTAGGGGGGAGGCCATAACTCTGTCAGAGGTTCATGTCAGGAAAGGCTTCTGAGAAGCCAAGCATGGAACTAGGTCTTGAAGCATGAGGTGGAGTTCCACATCTGTTCTGCTACTAATGACTGTAAGATACTGGACAAATCCTGCGCGCGCGCTTTCTCTCTCCATACTTCAGGAAAGGAGAAAAAATATATCTTCGTATTTCCCCTAAAAGATAAATTAATGGACTCACTGCAAGTGAAAGACCAAAGGTATTCTTGGGCTGATGAATAGAAAACATTTGTTGATGGAAAGCAGGCTTAGAGAAATAGACAAGATACCTTTACAATTTCATTTGTCAATAAAATTTTAAGCTCTAAGATTTTCAACTAAAGAACAAAAGAGATTAGTGTTTAATTCCTTTCTCAATTCCAGAATCCCCTTCCCCCATCTACATTCACCTTTTTGACACTGGAATTGAAACTGTTCTCCAATTTACAAAATGAGGCCATTAGATCAAATGATTTCTAATTTTACTTCTATGATGAAACTCTATATTTATGGATGTAGATTGGAATTTTAATAGTCTTTCCTCAGAATCTCGCTACATAAGCCCTTCTGAACAGTCTCATATATTTACATTAAAAGGTCACTGTCTCACTGTAAAAACTTGGTGAACTTGGAAATCTCTCCTCAATGCCAAATAAGACCTTAAGAACCATTGTAACTGCCAGGCTGGGATGCAGGGAGCACTAGAGTTGAGTTAAAGAGTTGATTGTACCTTTAACTGAGTATTAGCTCATTAGGTTCACTCTCACTATTGTAATAACAGGAAAAAGTGGCCTTAAAAGACATATACAGAGAGAAGACACCAAATTACAAATTATTCTTTCATAAGACTTATTTAATAATCATTTAATAATTCACTGATAAACCTATATCCTGGGAGGCGGGCAAGGGCAAACTCAAACTTCTTATAGGTTACATATGTTCTTCAAGTTCCCACTATAAATGTCATTTATTTAGTGCACATTTTCTATAGTATTGGCATACTATCAATATGTGTTATGAGAAAAGATATGTTTTTACTTGCTTTATTAAACTCAGACACAGACTTGAGAAAAGTCCTTAAGATAGAATTTGTTTCAGTGGGCATACTGCATTGTGAAGTCATTAAGAAAAAGCATTTACAGACTTCAGAAACTAAGCTCTTCAACTGAGGCCAAGTTGAAAATGTATTAAGCTAGCTCACTCGCGCTCGCGCGCGCGCTTTCTCTCTCTCTCTCTCTCTCTCTCTCTCTCTCTCTCTCGAGTTTATTTGAACCAAACTAAACATATGCCAGGCAAGATGTCCTCTTCTGGGCATTAATCTATAAATTTGTGTTAGATATCTTTCGATATAAAACAATGGACTAACTCATTTCTTTAATCTTCTTGAATACAGTCTTCTTTTGCTTCTTCTTGAATACAATTTTCTGTGTCCATTCTTGGAATCCCTGGTATTAATGAAGGGTTCAGAAACAGGAAAGATGAAATGAGCTCAGTACCCTTGCTCAGAACCCTTTCCTACTACCATTTCAGTACTTCTTGTCAGCGCAGGGCTTTTTGCCCCAGAGCTCCTGACATTCTTGGGTAGAATCAATAGGAAACCATGAGAGCCTTTTCACAAAGCTTTGAAAGGCCAGGTATAGCACAGCCACCACCAATGAGTGCGTTCCCTTTTCTTGGTAAATATGCTCAGGGAATTTAATTTAGTTTCCTATCAGTTACTTATGATTTATAGTCAATAGAGATATAATTTAGTGGCCCTGAATACAGCTGA